TAGGTGAAAGATCTGGTTTGTGCTACAGATAGCAGCTGAAGGGGAGGTGTCCTCTGATGTATCTTTGTGTTTATGCAGGCAGATGAGATCAGGAAGATGTGGTCCAGAACCCTGAGTTGGTGAAGAAAACAGTCTGTTGTTGCAGACTCAGTGTCTGGGGGTGGGGATGTGCCCGGAGACTTGTAGACACTTCTGCAGGTTTTTTGCCAATAAACACTAGAATCAAAATGCTGTTGTAAAATTTCTCTGGGTGGTGCGTAGTCCTGGAAGAGGCATGGGCATGCTCATATTTAGTGGGTAAGCCTGTGAGTGAGTGGGAATGCTGTGGTGACAGCTGTGGGAAAAGAGGGTCTGCTATCAGAGTTCCTCTTCTCTAAGTTTTTATCCTCTCACCCTGGGAGGAGACCTGGAATCACAGTACAATGGGCAGCGTGACAGCCTGTGTACAGGAGAGAAGAGCCTTGCATTCCCAGACAACCAGAGTTTGATTCCAGGCCAGGTTTCTGGGATACCTTTTTTCTTGTACTAAATCTGTAGTTTGCTGAACACCAAGCCATTCTGCAACACCAACTCACTGACTAAAATTTAAATTTAAATTCTGATGCCATCCAGAATCAGCACAGACTCTGATTCAGGGCTCATTCTCACAACATTGTCCTAATGGCAGATCCCAGTAACAAACCCCATAGGCATATCCATGCTTCTGAGCTACTGTTTAAAAATTGTGGACTCCCGTAACCTCTCTCAAGCTTCATAATTTGATAGAGCTACTCACACAACTCAGCAAAACACTGTAGCTACATTTACCAGCTTATTATAAAAAATACAACTCAAAAAAAGTCAAATGTAGAAAACATGACCAGGTATGGAGCCTCACGCCTATAATCCCAGCACTTCAAGTGGTGAAGGTGGGTGAATCACCTGAGATGGGGAGTTTGAGACCAGCCTGACCAACATGAAGAAACCCTGTCTCTACTAAAAATACAAAAAACTAGCCAGGCGTGGTGGCGCATGCCTGTATTCCCAGCTACTCGGGAAGCTGAAGCAGAAGATTCACCTGAATCTGCGAGGCAGAAGTTGTGGTGAGCCAAGAACATGCCATGACTCCAGCCTGGGCAACAAAAGTGAAACTCTTTCTCAAGGAAAAGAGGAGGGGAAGGGGAGGAGAAGGGGAGAAGGGGAGGGGAGGAAAGAGGAGAGGCGAGAAAGGGAGAGGGGAGGAGAGGGGAGGGAAAGGGAGGGGAGGGAAGAAGTAAGACAAAGAAAAAACGGAGAAAGATGAAGCACATAGATAATCCTGATAAACAGCTGTGATTAATAAAATTCTCTATCCTTTTGTGTTCTCCAGAAACAGTTTATGGAAAGAAACATGCTTTCCTCTATGACTTAATTGGTGCTCTTTTTCTTATCTATTACATAGCCAGACACAGACTCTGCACATTTTCTTCCTGTTCTCATTTTAAAAAATCAGCTGAATTTTTCTTCAGTGGTCAAAAGAAAATACTTCTTAATCAAACTCCAGTTTTACTGATTTCCAGCCCACAGGCTCCTTAACATTCAGCCACACTCCATTTGAGTCAAAATACAACACGTTATGTCCTTCCTAAAAACATGCTGACTTCAAAGTAAAACATTAATGTAGAATCTGATCTTTTCACCTCTCATTTGCTATTTACCTTCTACCTTCCTTGTAATCTTATTTGTTCCTTCCGATAAAAGGAAGCCCTTGTCTGCCCAAACTTTGCAATGTTTTCAGATCTTATATCACGTATTCTCTTCTGTTGCAATACTCCTTTGGAATTTACTTATTTATATATTTGACGAAGTCTTGCTGTCACGCAGGCTAGAGTGCAATGGAGTGTTGGCTCACTGCAACCCCTGCCTTCAAGGTCCAAGCAATTCTCCTTCCTCAGCCTCCTGAATAGCTGGGACTACAGGCCTGTACCACCACACCCAGCTAATATTTTTATTTTTAGTAGAGCTGGGGTTTCACTATGTTGGCCAGGCTGGCCTTGAACTCCTGACCATGTGACCCACATGCCTCGGTCTCCCAAAGCACTGTGATGACAAGGGTGAGCCACTCCTCCCAGCGGGAATTTAATTTAAATATTATTTATTTATTTATTTATTTTTGAGATGGAGTTTCGCTCGTTACCCAGGCTGGAGTGCACTGGCGCAATCTCGGCTCACGGCAACCTCCGCCTCCTGGGTTCAGGCAATTCTCCTGCCTCAGCCTCCCGAGTAGTTGGGATTACAGGCACGCACCACCATGCCCAGCTAATTTTTTTTTTTTTTTGTATTTTTAGTACAGACGGGGTTTCACCATGTTGACCAGGATGGTCTTGATCTCTTAACCTCGGGATCCACCAGCCTCAGCCTCCCAAAGTGATGGGATTTCAGGCGTGGGCCACTGCACCCAGCCTTAAATATTTTTTAATTAGTTAATTTTTTTTTAGAGACGGGATTTTACAATGTTGGTCAGAATGGTCTTGATCTCCTGACCTAGTGATTCACCCACTGCTTTTCAAAGTGCTGAGATTACAGGCATCAGCCACTGTGCCCAGCCTGGAATTTAATTTTGTTACATAAATCTAACTTTGCTTTACTTTAAGCACTCTAGAAACTGCTTCGAAACAATAACTTCATCTTCACAAAAATTCTACCAGTTCTTTTTCTTCTTAATCTTAACTGCATTGGCCTGTGTCACCAGCTTTCCAGGGCTCTGTAGCTTCACTCACTATGGAAGAGTCTTCCATGACGGGGGTGAGGAGGCTGGGACACATGCCAGGGAGGCTCTTCAGAAAACAATTGGGCTGTTAATAACCTTTTGGAGGTTCAATATTAGCCTTAGCTTGGAGGCACTAGGCTCAAGCTTTGATTTCCATGTCACAGTTGTGTAACTTGGTTTTTCAAACTACCTGTGTGAAAAATTCAGCAACATTACTTAAACAGTGTTCATCTAAACTGACAAAATTATAAGGTGCTTACATTTTAAACACCTCAAAGAGAAAAGCAAATGTATCTATTCTTTCAGACAGTATATGCCTTATTATAAATTTTTCCATTAAAAAATCATGTGGTAAACAATTAGTCATATGGAAACATTTCTAGGAGGTACCAAGTTTTGTCTCATAAAACTTAGCATGAAACTCAGAAGTCAAGAGGACACAGAACAGAGGTATTTACTGTCACAAATTAACTCTGCAAAAAAAGAAAGTTACATTTTTATGACTCAACACAACTCACCAGTTGTCTACCACGTTTTCTTGTAAAAAAGTTTTTTTTTTTTTTGGAGAGTTCTGCTTTCATCCAAGCTGGAGTTAAGTCACAAAACCTCGGGTTCAATGCAACCTCAGCCCCCTGGGTTCAAGCAATTCTCAAGCCTCAGCCTTTCCAATGGGTTGGATTCTAGACTCCTACAAGCACATCTGGTTAAATTTTGTATTTTTAGTAGAGACGGAATTTGCCACATTGGCCAGGCTGGTCTTGAACTCCCAGCCTCAGATGATCCACTGGCCTTGGCCTCTCATAGTGCTAGGATTACTGTGTGCCATAGCTAACCCAGAGTTAGATCCTAAGCAATGCCATCTTAAACCCTGTTCCCTGCAAGCACCAAGAAAAATGGTTTTCCCAAAAAATAAGTTGGAACTGCTGCCCCATTTCCTTTGTGATAACTGCTTGCTGCCCCATTTTCCTTGTGATAACTGCTGACCTTGGCTTCTGTAAATGAAAACAGCCAGCTTGCTCTAAAAATCCTGATTAAAAAGAGAAGAAAAAATTTTCTATTGAAATGTTTGACTTGCAGCTCTCCACCAGGGACTACTTAGAATTTCCCCAAATTCCAGGAAGCCCACTGTGTAAAGCTGAGGAGGGAGACCCAGCCATTTAGGATTCCCTCCCCCTTGGTCATCCACTGTGCATATCAATAAAAGAGAGCAGGCCAGCTGGTGCCTCCTGAATCTCCTTCCTGAAAACAACAGGCTAGGCCTTAGGGAAACTTTCTCCAGAAGGCACTATTTTTACTTAAAACAAGATCAAACCAGAAACCTTTTTACATGTGAGTCCTAAAACTATAAACGTAAGATTCTTCCACGTGTAACATCTAAAGTATAAGCTTATATAAAGGCTGAACCTCCCTTTATTAGACGAGCTTTGCTGTTAGGCACCTATGCCACCTTGCTCCCAGCTGAAATGAATTTCTTCCTCTGTATTTGGTGTCTGAGAGATCCTTTCCCGTGGTCACTCCTGCCACAAAGCTGCTTTCCTTTGCTTATCACAGACTGCCAGAAACAGCTTCCGTAAAGTTGCCTGCCCTGCATCCCCTCACCCTCTTTGTCCTCAAACCAGGATGTGGTTTTTCAGCTTAAAAACCCTGCTCCCCCTGAGTTCAAGGCCATGGGTTGGAGAGACGTGAGTCCTCCATGGCCCACCGGCAATACAGACCCTGCAATTTGGCATACTTTTGTCTTGGTGTTGACTTTCTGTGCTCGCTCCCGTACAACAACTGGCTGAGCTACAGTGCCTGGCCGGCAGTGTATTCATTTTCTACAGCCAAAATGCAGGAGAGATTTCCCTATTGTTTTCCTTGATCGCATTTTAAAAAGGAAGCCTTGAAATTCTGCTTGAAATCACCCAGTAATAAAAAACATTTCTGCAATAACTCCCATCAATTTTTAATAGGAGAAAAGAGAAACTTGAGAACCCCATAAACCAAACCAAAGGGCTTCTCATTCACGACCCACACCCCGAGTCAGAATTCTCCCTTGATGACCCTCCTGTGGTCCCTCGGAGAGAAAATATGGAAGAGACAGGGCGCTGCGGGTGCAGAGCTGCCCAGAGAGGGCTCCAGGTACAGTCACGGTTCAGCAGCCATTTTATTGCCAAGGGGGACTGAGGCCAAATTTGGGGCACAGATTTTGGAGCTGACTGCGGGGAGGCCGTGGCCATTTTCCACCAGTTCCAACAAAGCCCTTTCCCAAGGTCGGACCCGGCACTCACACCATTTCTAGGCTTCCAGGGGGTCCTGGCATCTCAGTTATGGATCTCCAGTACCAGCACATCACAATGCCCAGAGGCTGGACCTATAGCAGCAGAGGACACAGGACTGCAAAGACGAGACCTAAAACTCCAGCTGCAGAAAGACACAAAGCCGCCGCCACATCGCAGAAGCCGCCCTTTCCGCCCCAACTGCGTGCCTGATTGGACGCTTCTCAGGGCAGCGTCACTTATTGGATAAGGTTTAAGACCCAAGACCTGAGTGACAGAAGACATGACCAAATGCTGGCTGACCGAAGAAAGAGTGACAGCTGAAGGTGCAGCCTTTTCAGGCAGGACTTCCTCCCTGAGCTGAGCCGGGTCCACCCCAGAGGGTGTTTGCCTTCAGCCTTGTTTATAAGGTCTCGTGTATTTTGTAAATTATATACTATATGGCTGCTCACACATTAAAAGAATAAAATAAAAGTTATTTTTTAAATTGCCGTTTTTATAACCTTCCTGGCTTCTCGTCCTTTTGTTGTAACCGAGCGAGTACCGAATCACCACTGAGACCAAAGCCAATTTAGAGAGTCGTTTTTCGCCCGCGATCACGGAGGAGTAGTGTCTCTCCAACTCGTGGCCCTGAGCTCAGGGGAAGCAAGAGTTTTAAGCAGAAAACCCACATCCTGGTGGGGCATAGGGTTCTTTTTTTGGCAATCAGCATTATGCAAAGCAAGCTAGCTATTTTTCACAGAAGCCAAGGTCAGCAGTTACTGTGTGACATGGTAAAAGCCCCATGAAACTACATACCTCAACCATACCTGGCTTTCTGTTGAAACTGCTCTCTAACCCTGATGTGAAAGGCAAGCAGTCCAAACCCACTCCATCTTGACCCCTGTGATTTGTAATAAGTAACTAAGGTCTGTAATTTCCACTCTACCCAGACAATGTGTAAACTAAGGCTTATCTTGACTTCTGTGAACCACTTAAGTAGCAATCTGAATGTCTGAAGTCCCTCAACCTCGCCCCTGCCCAGGAGACGGTTTATGGAATGTCCAAAGTCCACTGGCTCTCAAAATGTCTGAAATCCATCATTCTCACCCCCACCCAGGAGGTGGTTTACGGGCATAAAAGGTTTTAACAGCCTCCTTTCCAGGCCACAGATTAGAGAGACAAGAGTCCTCCGTGGCCGCCAGCAATAAAGACCCTGCAATTTGGTATACTTTTGTCTTGATGTTGACTTACTTTCTATGCTCACTCTGGTATAACAGTTGCAAGGAAAACGGGACAGCAAGCAGTTATCACAAAGGAAACGGGACAGCAGTTACAACTTATTTTCGGAAAAACCGTTTTTCTTGGTGCTTGCAGGGTGCAGGGTTTAAGATGGTGTTGCTTAGGTTCTAACTCTGGGTCAGCTACGGCACAACAAGACCATTAGTTCAGGAAACAAGATCTTCTGGTTCTGGACTTTGTAGCTGTCTTGGGTAGGGAAATTTTGGAAGCTCTGTGCTTTAATTGAGCCTAAGGGGAGGGGCCACCTGGAAGGGACTCTGAAGCCAAGGGTAAGAGTCCTAAATTCCTGCCTCCCCAGCTCACTTTCCAAGAGGAGATATTGGGCAGCAAAATTTCTTTCTTTCTTTCTTTCTTTTTAATTTCTTCAGGCGGTGACTCGGATACAAGCAGCAAAGTTTCTTAACAAACTCAGAAAAACTAATATTCAGACCAGGCAAGCTAATAAATGCTTACCAGGATTATCCGGCCTAATCATCAAAACAGCCCTGCCATAGTCGTCCTCTGGGACAGATGAGGAAACTGAGGTTGGAGGAGGACACAAGCACTGTGAGCCTGGATGGGGCACTGGCAGCCTGGAGCCTCAGAGGTCCAGGCATTCAACACCCTCCCCTCCCTCTCATCCCCAAGAGGCTTCATTCCCATACATTCCCAGCTCATTCACTTGCCAATAGCTCAGGACCTGAGGTCACCAGCCCTCCCTCAAACTCAAACCGTCTTCTACCCCCAGCTCTTCAGGCCTCCCCCTGTGTGGCTACCAGGCAAGGGATGGGGCTGTCTGTGCTTCCCTTCTGCAAGCTTTGAGTGGCCTCTTCCCTGAGGGGAATACCCTCCTCATCTCCAGAAACCATGACAACCAGCAGCTCCACACCTGCACCCTCTGCCTGGAGCTGGGTGCACACACTAGTGGTAGATGAATCCCATTGAGGAGGAAGACCCAGGCATTTGGAATTTCCTCCCCCTCTGTCATCCACTGTGCATCTCAATAAAAGAGAGAGCAGGCCAGCTGGTGCCTCCCGAATCTTCTTTCTAAAAACAACAGGCTAGGCCTTGGGGAAACTCTCCAGAAGGCACTATTTTTACTTAAAACAAGATCAAACCAGAAACCTTTCCACATGTGAGTCCTAAAACTGTAAACCGGAACCCTTTCATATGTGATTCCTGAAACTGTAAACGAAAACCTTTTCACACGTGAGTTCTAAAACTATGAACCTAAGATTCTTCCACGTGTAACATCTTAAGTATAAGCCTATACAAAGGCTAAACCTCTCTTTGTTAAATGAGCTTGGCTGTTAGGCACCTATGACACCTTGCTCCCAGTTGAAATGAATTCTTTCCTCCTGTATTCAGTGTCCTAGAGAGCTTTTCCCATGGCAGCTCCTGCTACACTTTAGACCAGCAAGCTTGACAGCAGGGTGGGGGCAGCAGGGGCTCCTAAGAGTGTCACCGCGTTAGACTGGCCATGGCCTGGCAGAGGCTGGGCTCAGCTGACATCCTCACATCCGCCCTCCAGACTCCAGCCTCTGACTTTGGCGAATCTGGCCAGAATATGGGGTCTGGGTCTGGGACTGTGGACGCTCCAGGTCCCGACTCTCTGTAGGCCCTTGCATTTAAGTGGGGACCCTGCGGCTCCATGTGCCACACACCAGTGCACCCGTCGTTGCCGTGAATTTTGGGGAGGGGAGGCAGGACAGCCAGCGGGCTGGCGCGGTGGGGAAGATCACCCGCCAGCGCCTTTTTCCATCCAGGTGCCCTTTCCAGTCCCCGCGTTGCCTTCAGGGCCATCCCTCCTCCTCCCGCTGCTCACTCCCACTCGCTGCTCTCCCAATGCCTCGGGGCTCCGTGGCCACGGCTAGGAGGCAGGGCGGCTTACGACGACCACTGGCAGGGTCAACAGGGGAAAATTTCCCAGAGCCGGAAGCTGGCCCCAGCCTGCCCCACAGCAGACATGGCTCCGAATCCAAGCCCCCGACATCTGCTCCATCAGCACCCCTGGTGGCTCCCTGCTTGCCTGCTCCACTCCCGCGCGGTCCCTCTGACTGGGGGGCCTGGCAGGGTGGGCCCGACCCAAGGCCACCGCGAGGGTCTGAGCCCAAACCCGAACCCCGACAGCAGGGACCCGGCCCTCCAGGTCCTGGGACGCTCAGTCCTGGCAGGTGGCATGAGGCCTGGGTGTGTTTCTGTGAGAAACAACTGGTCAAAAGTGGCTTTTTGATTTCCCAAAGGTGAGGGCTCGGTCATAATTATGTTTTTTTTCTTATTTAGTTAAAACGAATAGAATCTAATTAGATTCACCCATAATTCATTCTGTCTGTAAATTTGAGCACATTTTTATTAATTTTTCTGTTTAAGGAGCTCTTTTGTTTGTTTCTATGTTAAGAATTTTAGGCTTGGCGCCGTGGCTCACGCCTGTAATTCCAGTAATTTGGGAGGCTGAGGTGGGTGGATCTTGAGGTCAAGAGATCGAGACCATCCTGGCTAACACGTTTGAACCTCGTCTCTAGTAAAAATACCAAAAATTAACGAAGTATGGTGGCACGCACCTGTAATCCTAGCTCCTTGGAGGGCTGAGGCAGGAGAACCGCTTGCACCCGGGAGGTGGAGGTTGCAGTGAGCCGCGATTCTGCCACTGCAATCCAGCCTGGACAACAGAGCAAGACTCTGTCTCAAAAAACAAAACAAACAAACAAAAAAATTAAAGTCTACCTGAAATTAGTAATGTGAATCCAAAAGTTTTCTTTCCTGTCTGTTTCTAAATTGTCTTTCACTGAGTATGCAATTTACAGGGATACTCACTTCTGCCTCAGTCTGGCTTAGTGAAACAATAGGGCGAAGGAAACAATCAGATATGCATTTGTCTGAGGTGAGAAAAGGGATAAGTGTTGAGTTCTGTGTTTTGTAAACAAGGAATATTTGTGTGTGTAGGCAAAATGTGAGGGTTGTATGTACCTTCTTTTATTTTTGTAGCTATCTCATTTGGAAATAGAACGGGAGTCAAGTTCCCAGGCTGGCTTTTTCTTTCTGCTCCGTGATTTGCCTGTCCAGAGATTTTTTTTTCTTTTCTTTTAATAATCTTTCGTCTACTGCCATACTACCCTTAACGCGCCCGATCTAGTCTGATCTTGGAAGCTAAGCAGGGTCAGGCCTGGTTAGTACTTCGATGGGAAATGTGTGGGAATACTAGTGGCTGTAGGCTTTAAAAAAAAATCTTTCAATTAAAGCATTTTAGAAAAAAAAATTGTTAGTTTCCGATTTTGTCTGATTTCTTATGGCCAGAACAGTTTATTCCTATAAGGGTAGTTTCCACATTATTAGGAATATTTTATTTATTTATTTATTTCCTCTTTTATAAATTATTCATTCTCAGGCATATTTATTTTTCTTTTTTTGAGACAAAGTTTCATCTTGTTGCCCCAGCTGGAGTGCAGTTGGTGATCACAAGGTCAGGAGTTAAAACCTAGCCTGGCCAACATGGTGAAACCCCATTTCTACTAAAAATACAAAAAATTAGCTAGGCATAGTTGCAGGGACCTGTAATCCCAACTACTTGGGAGGCTGAAGTAGGAGAATCCTTTGAATCTGAAAGGCAGAAGTTGCAGGGAACTGAGACTGCACCACTGCACTCCAGCCTGGGAGACAGAGTGAGACTCTGTCTCAAAAAAACAGGAAAAAAAAAAAAAAGAAAAGAAAAAAAAAGAGGGGGTGGGGAGAATGTGTGCTATAGAACTGCTCAAAACTTTGGAATCTGGCCAATTCTTTGGGTTTCAGAACATCCTGTAGGACACAAACTAAATGATTAAGCATTATTGACTAAACTTTGAAGGCCACATGTTTGAATGCTGGCAGACAGTGTCAGCTACTGGACTCATAATATAAGCTGGGAGCCTCCAAGTGCTTTTTTTTTTTTTTTTTTGGCAGTGTCTCCATCTGTCCCCCAAAACAGAATACAATGGTGCAATCTTGGCTCACTGCACCAACACGCCCAACTAATTTTTTGTATTTTTAGTAGAGATGGGATTTCACCATGTTGACCAAGCTGGTCTCACACTCCCGACATGAGGTGATTTGCCCACCTCAGCCTCACAAAGTGCTGCTATGGCAGGAGTTAGCCACTGCACCTGGCCAGAAGTCTAATATTTCCTTTTTTCTTTCTTTTTTTTTTCTTTTGAGATGAAGCCTTGCTCTGATGCCCAGACTAGAGTGCAGTGACACAATCTTGGTTCACTGCAACCTCCACATCCTTGGTTCAAGCATATTTTCTTTCTCAGCTTTTCAAGTAGATGGGATTACAGGCACCCCCACCATACCCGGCTAATTTTTGTAGTTTTAGTAGAGATAGATTTTCACCATGTTGGCCAGGCTGGTCTCAAACTTCTGATGTCATGATCCACCTGCCTCAGCCTTCAGAAGTGCAGAGATTACAGGCATCAGCCATAGCACCTGCCTTAAAAGTCTAATATATTCTCGCTTTACTTACAATCTCCTATGGGTTTACAATTGCAAGGGTTTGCAGGGGCCCTTTTAAGTTGTTATACTATGAACCCGGTGTTCAAGGTCTCGAAGTCTTGCTTCAATGTAGATGGCAGGCAGACTCAATCTCTGGATTCTCAATTATAAAGAGTTGTACTATCCTGTCAGTAAATTATGTTAAAGATATTCTTTTCCTGGTGAAAATGTGATTTGCCATAATGCATTGAAGTTTTCTTGCATTTAGAAATATTAGACTTTGGCTGGGCACAGTGGCTCATGCCTGTAATTCTAGTACTTTGGGAGGCTGAAGCCGGCTGATCACGAGGTGAGGAGTTAGAGACCAGCCTGACCAACATGGTAAAACCCCATCTCTACTAAAAATACAAATTTTTCAGTGAGCCAAGATTGTGCCACTGAACTTTAGCCTGGGTGACAGAGTGAGACTCTGTCTAAAAAAGTTAAAATAATAATAATTATAAAGAGGGCAATCTTGATCTTCACAAGATCAGAAATCAAGACATCTCTGCTATCATGGCAGAGTTCGTTGACAGTTTTCTTTTTTCTCTAACACTCTGCCTCCCGGGTATGTTAGAGTCTCCTTCTTTTTTTCTCCTGCCTCTGCCTCAAGAGAAGCTGGGAGGAGTAGCTGGGATTACAGGCATTGGCCACCACATCTAGCTAATTTTTGTATTTTTAGTAAATATGGGATTTCACTGTGTTGGCCAGGCCGGTCTCAAACTCCTGACCTCGTGATCCACCTGCCTCAGCCTCCCAATGTGCTGGGAATACAAGCATGAGCCACCGTGCCAACCCTTTCACAGTTTATTAATGCTCTATGAACAACAACAACAAAAAAAAAAATCTCTTGTATGCCCTCATGGAATATATGTAGATTATTTTGCTGCCAACATTATATATAAGAAAACTTTTACCTTGATAGTTAACAGATGAAGGGTAACATAGGTAAGAAGTTTTAATAAAAGATTTGTTGGCTGGGCGCGGTGGCTCACGCCTATAATCCCAGCACTTTGGGAGGCTGAGGCGGGTGGATCACGAGGTCAAGAGATCGAGACCATCCTGGTCAACAAGGTGAAACCCCGTCTCTACTAAAATACAAAAATTACCTGGGTATGGTGGTGCGCACCTGTAGTCCCAGCTACTCAGGAGGCTGAGGCAGGAGAATTGCTTGAACCCAGAAGGTGAAGGTTGCGGTGAGCCGAGATCGTGCCATTCCACTCCAGTCTGGATAACAAAAGCGAAACTCCGTCTCAAAAAAAAAAAGATTTGTTGCCTCATAATATCGGAAACAGTACAACAATCCACTGATTCAGAGTCCACCAGAAGTTAAAAATCTCTTCTGCAGAATAGGTGGAAGAGCATTGCCAGCAGACCATTGCTCTTCTGAAAGGGCATCATTTGTTAGATCATCTTTTCCATGGCTTAGCGCTAGTGAAGCAATGGTTAAGGATTTATTCCCCAAATAGGGCTCTACAGCAGATTCTAACATGAAGTCTATGGTTACGCAACCTGCATTAAATGCTCTTACTAAAGTTGTGTTAAATAATAGAATGTATTTTGATTCCTTACTGGATAAACAGAGAACTACCTTTGCAGTTGCTAATACTTCCGGTTGCACGTGGTAGGATACATTGGGTATTACAGAAATGCAGTTGTAGGAGATTAATAAACAGGTTGAAATGAGTAGATCATTTATCTAGCTAATTATATAATCTATTTGATTTTAGTTGGTTGTTCCTGGGGAACTTAACTAAGAGGCATGCTTTCAACTTTTTTTTTTTTTTTTTTTGAAATGAAGTCTCACTCTGTACTCCTTGCTGGAGTGCAGGGGCATGATTTCAGCTCACACAGCCTCTGCCTCCTGGGTTCAAGTGATTCTCCCTGCCACAGCCTCCTGAGTAGCTGTTACAACAGGTGTGTGCCACCACTCCTGGCTAATTTTTTGTATTTGGTAGAAATGGGGTTTTACAATGTTGGTCAGGGTGGTCTTGAACTCCTAACCTCAGTTCATACACCCACCTCAGCCTCCCAAAGTGCTGAGATTTCAGGCATGAGCCACCACATTCAACCAAATTTTTAGTATTTTTAATAGAGACAGGATTTCACTATTTTGACCAGGTTGATCTTGAACTCCTGACCACAAGTAATCTGCCTACCTTGGCCTCCCAAAGTGCTAGGATTATAGGCCTAAGCCACCATGCCCTGCCAGTTTAAACTCTTGGTATTATTCTCCTGATAGTGAAAACAGTAGTTTCTGCCAAGTGCAGTGGCTCACACTTGTAATCCCAGCATTTTGGAAGGTCAAGGAGGGGGGATCACAAGGTCAAGAGATCGAGATTATCTTGGCCAACATTGTGAAACCACCATCTCTACTTAACTATAAAAATTAACCAGGTTTGATGGGGCCTGCCTATAATCTTAGCTATTTGAGAGGCTGAGGCAGGAGAATTGCTTTAACCTGGGAGGCAGAGGCTGCAGTGAGCCAAGATCAAGCTACTGCACTCCAGCCCAGCAACAGAGGGATATTTTGCCTCAAAAAAAAAAAAGAAAGTAGTCTCCCTACTGTACTGTTTTTCTCTCAAATGTTATAAATGTTTACATGCGGCTGGGCATGGTGGCTCAAGCCTGTAATCCCAGAACTTTGGGAGGCCAAGGCAGGTGGATCACAAGGTCAAGAGATCGAGACCATCCTGGTCAACATGGTGAAACCTCGTCTCTACTAAAAATACAAAAAATTAGTTGGGCATGGTGGCGCATGCCTGTAATCCCAGCTACTCAGGAGGCTGAGGCAGGAGAATTGCCTGAACCCAGGAGGCAGAGGTTGCGGTGAGCCAAGATCGCGCCATTGCACTCCAGCCTGGGTAACAAGAGCGAAACTCCATCTCGAATAATTAATTTAAATGTTTGCATGAAGTTATCTCTAGAATTTCAAATAGTCCCTTTAACTGGAATGACAGAAACTCAAGGACATATGTGACTCTGAAGACACCATAACATATAAGTAACATTATTAGAAAAAAACCCCCAGATTATAAAAATGTAGAGTGGCACTAAGGCCCTGAATTTTGGTCACACTGCAACCTACACAAAAACTTTACCAACAGAAGCTGTGGGGACTTGTAGCATGCAGACCTTGCAGGCTTAATGCTCACCTCGGTGTCTGCATCTCCCTCAGATTCTCTCCCAGGCGATGAGACCCAATGGCTAGAAATTCACCATGTGTATTCTCAAGACCCATGCCAGGGAGATTTTTGACTCATGGGACTCCCACTGTGGGATCTCTTCACCGCAGAAGTTCTCTTCAGAGCTGCTGTGCTCAATGGTGTTTCAACCGGTATCTAAGAGGCCCTAGAGCTCCAGGACAATGATAAGACTTGCTATATGGGGAGGGCTGTCTCAAAGGCTGTTGAGCACATCAGTAAAACTATATTGTGCCTGCCCTGGTTAGCAAGAAACTGAACATCACAGAACAAGAGAAGATTGACAAACTGTTGATCCAGATGGAGGGGACAGAAAATAAATCTAGGTTTGGTGCGAACGCCATTCTGGGAGTGTCCCTTGCCATGTGCAAAGCTGGTGCTGTTGAGAAGGGAGTTCCCCTGTACTGCCACATCGCTGACTTGGCTGCCAACTCGGCTGCCAAATCTGAAGTCATCCTGTCAGTTCTGGTGTTGAATGTCATCAGTGGTGGTCCTCATGCTGGCAACAAGCTAGCCATGCAGGAGTTCATGAACCTCCCAGTAGGGGCCACAAACTTCAGGGAGGCCATGCGCATTGGGGATGAAGGTGGGTTTGCTCCCAACACCCTGGTGAATGAGGAAGGCCTGGAGCTGCTGAAGACTTCGATTGGCAAAGCTGGTTACACCGATAAGATTGTTATCACCATGGACATAGCAGCCTCCAAGTTTTACAGGTTTGGGAAGTATGTCCTGGACTTCAAGTCTTCTGATGACTCCAGCAGGTACATCTCACCTGACAAGCTGGCTGACCTGCACAAGTTCTTCATCAATGACTACCCAGTGGTGTCTATGGAAAATCTCTTTGACCAGAATGACTGGGGAGCTTGGCAGAAGTTCACGGCCATTGCAGGAATCCAGGTGGTGGGGATAATCTCACAGTAACCAACCCGAAGAGGATTGCCAAGGCCACAGAGAAGTCATGCAACTGCCTCCTGCTCAGCGTGAACTAGATTGGCTCTGTGACCGAGTCCTTGCAGAGGTGCAAGCTGGCACAGGCCAATGGTTGGGGCGTCATGGTGTTGCATCATTCTGGGGAGACTGAACATACCTTCATTGCCTGCCTGGGGGTGGTGATGTGCACTGGGCAGACCAAGATGTGTGCCCCTTGCCAATAAGAGCGCTTGGCCAAGTAGAACCAGCTCCTCAGAATTGAAGAGGAGCTGGGCAGCAACGCTAAATTTGCTGGCAGAAACTTCAGAAACCCCTGGCTAAGCAGGCCAGCGCTTCAGTCACCTGTTGGCTAATTAGACTTCTCTCCTCCTCTCAGCTTGGGCAGCTCCAGGCTGACCAACACTTGCAGGGGCCCCTGCTAGTTAGCTTCCCTCACCCACTGCCGTGGAGTTCACACTGCTTCCTTAGAACTGCTACAGAAGCCAAGCTCCCTGGAGCCCTCTTGGCAGCTCTAGCTTTACAGTCATGTAATTGGACCAAATGATTGTTTTTCTCACCTCACTTTCCACCAGGTGTCTGGAGCAATCTGAGCCTCCGGTGTCATCTCCGCGGTAGCCACAGGCAAGATCCCCACTGGTTTTGTGCTCAAAATAAAAAGCCTCAGTGACCAATGAGGGGGAAAAAAGTGACCAAAAAGGCAATTTTAAAAAACAAGGTTTGCAGTGGCAGTGGTTCATGCCTATAATCCCAGCACTTGGAGAGGGCAGGGTGAGCAGACCACGGGGACGGAGATAGAGACCATCACGGCCAACAGCGGAAAACAACGTTTCTACTAAAAATACAAAAATTAGCTGGGTGTTGTGGCACATGCCTGTAATCCCAACTAATCAAGAGGCTGAGACACGAGAATCACTTGAACTCAGGAGATGGAGGTGGCAGTAAGCTGAGATCGCGCCACTCCACTCCAGCCTGGAGACAGAGTGAGGCTCCCTCTCAATAACAAACAAACCAAAATAATAGGAGGTCATCATTCTAAACTGACCTTGTACACTAGTTCCTCACAGACCAAACCAAACCAAAATGAGTCAGTTGTGATAAATGTCACATGATCAAACTGAAAATATAAGAAAATTGGCAGATCGAGGAGGGGGAGGTGGTTGCTCACGCCTGTAATCCCAGCTCTTTGGGAGGCCTAGGCGGGTGGATCATGAGGTCAGTAGTTTGTGACTAGTCTGGCCAACATAGTCAAACTCCGTCTCTACTAAAAATCCAGAAAGAAGAAAAAAAGAAAACTCGATGTGGTAATGTGCACCTGTAATCCCAGCTACTCGGAGGCTGAGGCAGGAGAATTGCGCGAACACAGCGGGTGGAGGTTGCAGTCAGACCAGATCGTGCCACTGAACTTCAGTCCAGGAAACAGTGTGACTCCGCCTAAAAAAAAAAAAGGTAGAAGGTGGCGGCGGCAAATTAAAAAAAAAAAAGAAAATAGGTAGATTCTAAAACAGGCCAGGTTTATATTTTACTTCTGGAAATCGCAGATTTTAACACTAGGAAGCTCCTTTGAACTCTTTATTTTTTATTATTTTATTTTGTTTTATTTTTGAGACAGAGTGTCACTCCATTGCCTAAGCTGGAGTGCAATGGCAGGGTCTCGGCTCACTGCAATTTCTGGCTCCCGGGTTCAAGCGATTCTCCTGATTTAGCCTTTTGAGTCCCTGGGATTACAGGCGTCATTCACCATGCCCAGCTAACTTTTGCAGTTTTAGTAGAGATGGAGTTTTACCTTGTTGGCCAGGCTGGTCTCAAACTCCTGAACTCATGATTCCCCGCCTCGACCTCCCAAAGTGCCGGGATTACAGGCATGAACCACAGTGCCTGGTCCTAACCCTTTAAAAAGCAAATAATAGGCTGAGCAGGGTGACTTGTGCCTGGAATCCCAACTTTTTGGGAGGCCGAGGCATAAGGATCACCTGATGTCAGGAGTTTGAGACCAGTCTGGCCAACATGGTCAAACTCCGTCTCTACTAAAAATTCAAAAATTACTTGGGCTTGGTGGTGCTGGACTAAAACCACAGCTACTCGGGAGTCTGAGGCAGGAGAATCTCTTGACCCCGAAAGTCGGTGGGTGCAGTGAGCCAAGAAAATGCCATTGCACTCTAGCCTCGGTGACAGAGTGAAACTTCATCTAAAAAATAAAAATAATACAGTAACCTGAAGCCCATGTTTCCGCTAAAAAATATACCTTCACATTTCTGCTAGTTTACAATAGAATTTGGGACTAAATAAGTACTTTATTGTTCTATTTTTCTTTCTTTTTTTTTTTTTTTTTTTTGAGACAGTCTTGCTCTGTTGCCCAGGCTGGAGTGCAATGGTGAGATGTCAGCTCGTTATAACCTCCACCTCCTGGGGTCAACAATTCTCCGGCCTCAGCCTTCCAAGTAGCTGGGATTACAGGCACTCACCATTCTGCCCAGCTAATTTTTGTAGAAATGGAGTTTCACCACGTTGGCCAGGCTTCCACGTTGGTCTTAAACTCCTGATATCAGGTGATCTGCCCGCCTTGGACTCCCAAAGTGCTGGGAATCACAGGCGTGAGCCACCAAGCCCAGCCAATAACTGCATTTTTTATTGCGATGAGGTGATATCAATATCTAAAGTTTTGATGTATCTCTCAAAATTAAGATGATGACCAAAAGAGAGAAATGGTTAAATTAATTATATTCTAATACTGCCCGCTTTCATGTTTAATTTTTTTCAATAGTTTTTTTTTTACATACTAAACTGAAATCTAATTTGATATGTAAATAGACTGTACCCATTCTTCTACCTCCTGCAATGTTTTGGCACATATAAAAATGTCAACTGCTCAAATCATTTTCAAATAAGGCTCATTCTAAGCTGTAATTAATCTGGCTGTTTCTGTACCTTCTTCCATTTTCTGTATGTCACTGTGCTTTTTTTACCATGTGGCTAAGCTGGAGTATCTCTGAGCCTACTCTGGATCCATGGACTATCCGATTTGCACATCATTTTTTGCTCAATCTAACCCTATTGCGTTTAATTTATCTAGTGGTTTTCTTTTCTTTTTACAAGTTTTCAAGTTATTTCATGGATAAATAATAATGTTCTTGGGTTTTGACTTTCTAAGCTCATCCCTTAACTATTCATGCAAATTATTCTTTGTTCAAAATCCTTCTGCAATTTTTCTTTGAGACAGCATCTCACTCTTTTATCCTGGCTGGAGGGTGGTGGTGTAGCCAATTATTGCTCATTGCAGCCTTAATGATCTTGGCTCACACAATCCTCCTGCTTCAGCCACCTGAGTAGCTGGGCCTACAGGCATGGAACATCATGCCTGCCTGATGTAAAAACATATTTTCATAGACACAGGATCTTACTCTGTTGCCCAGTTTGCACTTGAACTCCTGAATTCAAGTGATTCTTTCAACTCAGCCTCCCAGAGTGCTAGGATTACAGGTGTGAGGCACTGTGTGCTTCTACGGTTTCTTGACAGGATTATTCCCAATAATAAACCATGCTATATGGGCAGAAATAAAGAAAAAATCCAGCTTCTATTGTAAATGTATCATTCTCCAGTATTTCATGGGTCTGCAGAAGCCAATAATTCAATCTTTGGAGGAGCTCAGATGAGCAAACTCAGTTTATCCTGAATGTCAACCTAGCCACCTAGTAGCTGTGAGTCTTTGGACAAGTTTCTTGATGTAAAAAGAGTTGTATAAATCACATATGCAATAAATAAAAAATAATATTGATAGCAAAAAACTGTAGCAATTTTTCTTTCTTTTTTTTTGAGATGGAGTCTTATTCTGTCACCCAGGCTGGAGTGCAGGGACACAATCTTGGCTCACTGCAAACTCTGCCTCCTGGGTTGGAGCAATTCTCCTGCTTCAGCCTCCGAAGTAGCTGGGATTATATATGTGCACCACTGTGCTAGGCTTATTTTTGTATTTTTAGTAGAGACGGGGATTTGTCATGTTGGCGAGGCTGGTCTTGAACTCCTGACCTCAGGTGATCCACCCACCTTGGCCTTTCAGAGTGCTGGGATTACAGGCGTGAGCCACCAGGCCTGGCCTGTTTTGTTTTTTAATACTTTAATATTCAAAGCTTCACACTGCAAGCAACGGTCCCAGCCTCTGGGTAATTAAGCCAAAAATATAGGTAGTTTAAAGAATGATTGGGAGGGAGGGTATCCAGGCTCAAGGTTAGGCTTATAGGAACTATGCCCAAAACCATGGCATGGGACAGGTATACCGAGTAAGTCACCTGCCTCTCCTGCTGGCACAAGAGCTATGGGAATTGGCACTGTTGCCACACTGATACGCTGTCTGCACCTGATACATAAGCAACTACTCCTGCCTGTGAAAGCCACACCCACAAAATGAATTCCATGTGAAACCTTGATTAAGTTGGTCAGTTTTGAAATATCTTTTTTTTTTTTTTGAGACGAGGTTTCGCTCGTTACCCAGGCTGGAGTGCAATGGCGCGATCTCGGCTCACCGCAACCTCCGCCTCCTGGGTTCAGGCAACTCTCCTGCCTCAGCCTCCCGAGTCGCTGGGATTACAGGCACACGCCACCATGCCCAGCTAAGTTTTTGTATTTTAAGTAGAGACGGGGTTTCACCATGTTGACCAAGATGGTCTCGATCTCTTGACCTTGTGATCCACCCGCCTTGGCCTACCAAAGTGCTGGGATTACAGGCGTGAGCTACCGTGCCCGGCCTTGAAATATCTTGATATGAGTTTCATTGGTGAGACGTAGAACCCAAGGAACTGAAGACATTTCCTAGAGCTGGCAAAAATGTTCAAAAGGGACTGGGAGTGGTGACTCATGCCTGTGATCCCAACATTTTGCGAGGCTGATGTGGGAGGAATGCTTGAGCTCAGGAGTCTGAGGCTGCAGTAAGCTGTGACGGCACCACTGCACTGAAGCCTGGCCAACAGTTTCAAAAACAGGGACTGTTTTTAATTTTTTTTTTTCCAAGATGGAGTCTCACTCTGTCCCCCAGGCTAAAGTGCAGTGGCAACAATCTCAGCTCTGGGGCAACCTCCACCTCCAGGGTTTAAGAGATTGTCCTGCTTCAGCCTCTTAAGTAGCTGGGATTACAAACATGCAACACCACGCCAGGCTAATTTTTGTATTTTTAGTAGAGAAGGGGCTTCATCATATTGGTCAGGCTGGTCTCAAACTCCTGACCTCATGATCCACCTGCCTTGGCCTCCCAAAATGCTGAGATTACAGGCATGGGCCCCCATATCCAGTCTAAAAATATTTGGAAGGTACAGAGTGGCCAGAAAAACAGAACAGTTGCCTCTGATCTGCTCTTTTGACATCTCATCACTAACATACACTTTTCTTTTCACAATTAAATTTAACATCATCACCTACAACAAAATGTTCCCTCCACATATACTGTCACTACCCCACTAACATAAATGCAACATTTCTCCAAGTGTCATAAGTTACTGTGACCATTTTCAAAGCCACAGTTTATGAGAAATATCAGTTCTTTCTCTTTGAAAATAAAAGAACTCCACCCAAATAAGATCAAAGGGAGGCTTATGCAGACAGAACTTGCTATGTAGTAAGGGTTCTGTTTAAGTTCATTTAAGTTCTTCATAGATTCTGGAGATTAGGTCTTTGTTGTGTTGCCCCA